ACACACACACACACACACACACACACACACACACACACACACACACACACACACATATATAAACACATCTTCCTCTCTTTAGTCTTTTATTATTTATTTCCTCGCATTGTTTGAGAAAAATACACGCCTCGGCCGGAATGGGGATTTACTTCCCGGCCTCTGCAGTAATGTGCTATAACATAAACATGTTGCTGTAGACATCTAAAAATATGTTTCTAGCGTTTTTCTCCGAATCGCTATTTTGCAAATGCTGCATTTACAATAAGCAGCGCAGCATATACCCACATGTTGACTTCATGAGCACCAGCAACGGAATTCACTCTGTGGAATCGAACTCGGGACCTCCTCATCCAGCTCCCACAGTTTAAACCGCTGGGCCACCGAGGTCGTCGTAGTTAAGGCTGCTAACAGATTGATTGCATGTTTGCAGTCGATCTCGGTTGAATGAAGTCTGTTTCAATTGCATGCAGTTAATGCGTGAAGTCGTTATCTTCACTTCATGCAGTCAAGTTCGCGAATAACGACATCACGCATTAACTGCATGTAATTGAAACCGACTTCATCCAGTCAAGATCGACTACATGCAGTTAATGCGTGAAGTCTGTATCAACTTCATGCAGTCGTGGTTTCGGCTGCATGAAGTTAATTACGATTTCATGTATTAACTGCAAACATGCAATCAATCGTTAGCTACCTAAATGTCATATAGGCAATTACGTGCTCTCTATTAAGTTACGGCCTGTTGTTAGCCTTTGTCTAAGGAGGCGCGATATAATATTCATAATAACTAACCTCCACTGAGACTAACGCCACGTTCCCCGACGATAGTCTTGTCGCCGTGCGGGAACAGGGAAAAGTCGCGGTCGAGAGCACAGCGGCGCACTACCGCGTTGTAGCGCGGACGGTCCATCGTCTGTCCGAAGAGGATGTTCTGTCTGACGCTGCCTGCCGACAACAAAACAGTCGTGTTACAATCTAAAATATTAACAGCAAGTAAAATACAATAATAACACTTAAATTAAATTATTAATACAAAGATCGAACAATTACAAAAAAAAAATATCCTGCAATCCGATTGGACTCGAACCTTCTTCCAACAAACCGTGCCAGATACATTGATTTTTCAAAAACCCTTGACACACAAAAATAGGCAGAAAACTCGTCGAGACCAACGTCAAGACTCTTGACACAAGAGCCCAAACATAATAGTTCTAATGTAAGTTTGTTTTTTATAATATGAAGGTAAGTTGTTACAATTATTAATATAAAGATCGAACACTCAGAAAAAATTCCTTCGATCCGGCCGGATTCGAACCGATGTCTTCTAGCTTACCGTGTCAGAGGCTATACCAACTAAGCCACGGAACGAACCAGCGGACCTCACGAATTTTTGTATGTGCTTGCGTCGTGTCTTTGTATTTGGTTTTTTCAATGACTTTTTAGTCGTAGCGCCATCTATGAGAAATCTATGAAAGATTTATCACCCAGTTAGTACCTTTACAGTTACCAGTCCTGGCGAGAGATGTCGCTATTCGCTGTATTTTAAATTTTTATTGAATTGATATTCAATTATTTTTTGTGAAATTACTTCACTAGATTGTTTGTTTTTGGATCTAAATCGCGTATACATGTTTTACAAATATTTCTTCCGACCCGGATGTGGAACCTGGGACCTCTGCGTGGCAGTCCGGCATGGTAACCGGTCGGCCGCCGAGGCAGTTACGTAGTAGTTGATTCTTCTCAAAAAAAAACTCAACATAAAATATTGGTCTATTATATTCCTAAAAGCAATAGCTTCGTAGTAAATAGACAGTAATGTGAATTACCAGCAAAGAGCCAAGGTTCCTGACTGGCATAGGAAACATCACCGCCGACATGAACGCTTCCCGACTGCAAAGGCAACTCCCGTAACAACACGTGTAGTAACGACGATTTGCCCGCGCCCACTGGTCCGATTACTGCTATTAACCTGGTCAAAAATAAATGCGTCATGTCATGGAAGAAATGCGGTATTGAACAATTTTGTGTATGTATATATATATACATATATATATATATTATATATATATAGCGCATGTATATATATATATATATATAAATATAAATATATATACATGCGCTGTTCGTTATATGTTAGTTATATTAGCTATGTGAGAGTTTAAATAATTGAATTTGCATTAGCATGAAAGAGTAAATTCTTTAAATCACGTTTAGAATAAAAATATCATTTTTAAAGCTAGCTTAAAAGCCCATTCTTCTTCATGCAATTTATACTCACTTCCCAGGTTTAATCGTAAGCGAGAGATCGCTGAGCGTGTTCTCCGGGTGAGCAGGCACCCACTTGGCCGTGGCGTGCTTCAGTCGTACCCCTCGAGCGTCTTCTTCAACACGCGCTGCTAGTTCCTCATCATCAGATTCTCCTGATTCTAGAGGAGCCGCTGTCAATTCTGTAACTTTTCGTTGGAATATCAGTGAACTTGCATTTCGAAAAACGTTGATAAAAGCCTTTAATCCTATAATTGTGTGTGCTTGTTGGTTACTATTACTCTATATCTATTTTTATTTTGTAGTGTAGTGGTACTCGATACGAGCAACAGAGGGCAGCACTGATGAGAGACTACAAAAGTGCCGCAGGTGCTTATAAATTATTTAATTAGAATTGTCCTTTGTTGGCTTTATCTTATGTAGGTTGACTAATAATTTTCAAACATGACTATGATTTTTTATGCTTACATTCCAATAGCATCATAAGCATTGAATTACCGTAAGTTATACTTTAACATCCTAAGGCAATGTGTACATCAAAATGTACAAAATATGTGAAGTGAATCAGATCCAGATATTCCTATGATCACCTACACGCGCAATATATATTATAATGAAAATATCTAATATTCTGTATGACCCTATGGTTTACAAAAATATGTGTATCATACAAAACTGAAGGGAAACTTGCTTTGAGCCAGAAAAATGTAATTATATTTAGTACATTTTTTTTACAATCGTATAAAAGTTCCTAAATCATTAAAGAAGAAAAAAGACCTAACACCTTAAGTACAATCGACGGTGGACGTCAGTTATCCTAATAAATATCTACTGCCTCTGTGGTCAAACGTTTACTATGCTGGTCTGCCACGCAGAAGTCCCGGGTTCGAATCCCGGGCCGGGGGAAATATTTGTATGGTCTACATTTATTTCCCTCGTGAGTTTGGGTGTAACTTGTGGTTGTCTATGTTTGTGCCCATGGCACTGGCGACACAGGGTGTCCTTAGTGCGGGGCTATAAGTGTATGCGCTATTATTATCTTACCATTTCTTTTCCCGTTTTCCTTTTTAGATTCTTGCAACTCCGGCACATCCTTTGGCTCCCCGTCGGTGGCTACTACTAACTCTTTACTAATATCTTTCTCTATTTCCCTTTCTACTTCTATTTCCACGCCTTGTTCTTTGGCGGCTGTTTGTATTTCCGCTAAACCCGGCACTGGTTTCGACGTGTCTTCGTAGAGCATAAAGTTTTGTATACGTTTTAACGATATCGTGGCTTCCGCTACTAGAGCGATACCTGAATAGGAAGAAGTTTACATATTAAAAACCATTGCAGTACTATATTCCTCACTTACTCCTTTAACGTACTTTATAGAATGCAAATAAATGCTTTTCAAAAATTTCGTTAAACAATACCCATTTCGGAGTGACAAGGCAAAAGTCATAAGTATCGAGTTCTGGGACCATAGGACCTGTAAATGACGGTTTGTTTGCAAAAATAAAATACGCGCTATAGATCCGAAAAATAAATTAGCTCATTCTTATACACGAGTCATAATTTTTTAGGAATTTTACAGGCGCGAAACTTCTTTGCATGGCAACAAATACTTCACAGTGAAGTTGGTTATTGATTACTGATCGGCAGGGTGTTTATTGTATAAAATAGCTGTCGCATTTTTACTTTATTTATGAGGTGTATATGGTTTGACGAAATATTCTTCGTATTAATGTTAGTAAGAAAACCATAAGTTTTTACACCCACTATATTTTGATGAATGTTGTGTACAAAGTACAATCAACAGCACACTGAGTCATAAAGTTTGCACTGTTCTTATAAAAAGTGGGATGGAATGGAATTTAAATCTTAACATCCTAATCCTAATAAAAATGCGAGCTGTTGATTGTAAGTAAATATGTGACTGGTAGTTAGTATGGTGGGTAGTTACATTATTTATATAACATGCATCGTTTGTAAGTGAACATACATAAAACGGTGTCGCACAAACCTATGATAGATTTTCCTATAGGGCTAACACGACAGAACGCGTTTCGCGCGAGAGCTGTTATTTTTTTCATGATACTAAGTGATTGGATGAACAAGCTGTGCACCTGTTGGATGACGACACGCATGTCCATTCACACAGTTGCAGTGCCACTCAGAACTTTAAATCGCAAAGATCTGAGGCGCACTGCCTCTGCGTCCGTCATCGTGAGACATAAGTTGAAAAGTCCCATGTGCCTGTAATTTCACCAGCACCCTGACCCTTCAAAACCGGAACACAGTAATGCTCACATTACTGCTTGGCGGCAGAAATAGGTTAGGTAGCAGTACTTCCCTGGATGAACTCTTTCACAAGGAGCTCTGCTATTATTATTGTTGAATTCTGTGCTTTATCGCTCTCCGCGCAAGTCACGCTATGTCGTGCTAGCCCTACTATACACCATCGTATATCATATTGTCATTAATAAAAGCGGGGTAAGAAGATATACCGCTTCCTCTACCCACCCAACCAACGGCGTGGGATACTGCACTTGCATGATTCATTCTTTATGGAACTGTGATAAAGCTATTGTGTTATATTTGTTAACCAGTGTATTCAATTTTTCAACAGTCAATTAGTCTGGTTACATTATCTAGTAACTTTAGTGTAAAATAAGTTAGAATTAAAATATATATTTACGGTTTATCAATAGCATAGTGGCAGTAATACAGATACTCTTTTACTTAGTTTAGGCAACGCAATTACACTTTTAGGTTCTAAGATTTTATTGTGTAGCTTAAGATTGTATAATAAATTGAGGTTCCTTTTTTATTGTTTATTTTAATATTGTCATAGCTTCCTTTCCATTTGTTTTAATCTTATAGATTAAGTTATAATGGAATAAATATATCTTATAGTAGTTCTTAAGCAAGCCTCTCACCTTGTGGAAAGAAAACCGTCATAGTCTGTCTGAGAATGTTGTAGAAACTGGTGACGACGAACACTTGCTTGGCCGTGATCACGTTGTGAACAAGGACGTACGCCAGTATCGATGCGAACAGGCAGATACGTGTAGTGAACATTATGTACGACGTTAACACGCCGCGTATGTATGATGTTGATCGGATTTTGTTAATCTCCTTCCTGAAAAATAGCACAGGTTTAGTTTTAAACATATCATCCTTTGTCAAATATTAAGCGCGCATTTGACCACCATCTTCATCATCAAACTGCCTCTGTGGCTGAATGACCTCTGTAAATATGGCGAGATTGCAAATCAACACATTAGTATAGATACATGTATAGACATAGCTACAAGGAGCGACATAGAGTTGTTAAAACCACCAAGTATTACGTAAGTAAACTGCCTCCATGGTCGAACGGTTACCATGCCGGACTGCCACGCAGAGGTCCCAGGTTCGATTCCCGGGTCGGAAGAAATATTTGTAGGGCCTAAATTTATTTCTCACGTGAGTTTGGGTGTAATTTATGATTGTCTATGTGTGTGTCCATGGCACCCGCGACACAGGGTTTCCCTAGTACCCATGTAGCCCATGGCCCCCCTGATGAGTGTATGCGTTATTATCAATAAAAAAAGAATAAGAATCTTACTTGACGACGTCGACGATAAAGCATGCACACTAAAATAATGCGCACTTGAATGTTTGTAAAAACAAATATACGCGAGTTAGTACGAAATAATGTTTCATTTTCTATCTAACAATATGTCTTATTCAGTATGATTGCATGAGCTACTTACTTTCGTGCCTTAGCGACGAGATCCGCAAAAGGTTTTTCCCAGGTGTACATCTTGATGACCTGTATGCCCGAAATGATTTCGTTCATAAGTCGTACGCGCTCGTCCGTCCTTATGGCGGTTTTCAACCGCAGCACTGACGTGCGCTTGCCCAAGTATGCTGCGAAGCAATCCAAAAACTATGCATGAGTCAGACACATCTTGCAGGTTTTCTTCATTTGTGAAGTATAAAACATATATTCACACATCATTAACCCATTTATACGTCCCACCGTTGGACACGGGTCTCCTCTCGAGGGTTCAGTTCAGGTAAAGTTGCTGATAAGCAATAATGTCAACCAGAATTTGCAAAAATGGCACCTAAAGATTTGTAGTAGTCATTGACAGTTTGTTCTAAAATAAAAACTTATGCTGTTGTGCTTGTTGTTGTACAGGAATTATAGTAATCAGTCACAACAATTCATCATTCCTGAATCCTGAGGTGACAACAGCAAAAGTCCTCATTTTACATAAAGTTTAGAACAAACTATCAAAAGTAGGTGCCATTTTCTGAAAAGCTATGATCACGTTGGTCGACAGGAAGCTGCGCACAGTTATTTTTTTTAATTATACCTTTGTTGCTATTATTATTTCTAATGATGTTGTTAAATTTGATTAATAAATCTCTAATATGATTCCATTAACAGTAAATGAAAACGGTTGGCCTTGGCAAAAGTGTATAAAATTGATTTTCCGCAAATAAAAACTTGTGATTTAATAATTAACGGGTGACGGACGCAGTGGCACTGCCCCTCAAATCTTTGTGATTTAAAACCCTGAATGGTTGTGATTTAAAGCTCTTAATGGCACTGCAACTGTTATGGTCAGGCGCTTACCACCAGATACACGACTTGTTCGTCCCGTCACTCGGTATCATAAAAAAAATTACAAAAGCTCTTTTGTTACAAAACATATACAATTATCAACTATATAGTTATTTCTATAAAAGTGCAATTTTGTATTTAATGTAATTTTTTTACACAGGTACATTTTAGAACGAACAATCATAAAAAAAAATTTTAACCCACACACTCCTAGCCCTGCACTAGGGAAATCCTGTATCGCTGGTGCCATGGACACATACATAGACAACCACAAAATACACTCAAGCTCACGAGAGAAATAAATGTAGGCCATACACATATTTCTCAGCCCCTGTGTGGCAGTCCAGCATCGAAACCGAACGGCCAAGGAGGCAGTTGAACACAAAGCAACCAAATTTTTTAATTAAAATTGAAGGTTTTAAAATCTAAAAGAGTTCTTTAGAAATTTAAATTTCAAAATTCTAAATTAAAATTAAGTTAGATCAAATATTCATCAACTAGTTTTTTTTTTCTTCGATAAACCTCTTTTGTTAATATGGTAAGTATGTGAGCATATTACATAATGTTTGGCTGTTCATTTACTGTAATAAAAATTTATACGACAGTACAGTAAATATACTTACGAAAGTAGTTTAACAGCATTTACAAGTGTAATAAAATATCAGTGAGGTTAAATAAATTTATCTAATGTCAATGACAAAATTATGCCATTTAAAAGTTATTTTAAAATTGTTTGTGTTATTAAAGATTGACGACTCCATTGTTCGAATGAATATGAGGTATTTGAGGTCGAGATGCCCTGGTCACATTAAATATTTAGAGGTCTGATATACATGTAAGCAACATAGCTGACAAACGCCTCTCGAAAACCCATTTCTACCTGTTTAAGTAAATAAATAATAAGACGAACAATATCTATACAATTGTTTACAAATGAAGAAAGACCTTTTAATAGACAAACGTCGAAAACTCAGCACCACCAGCTAGCCGTCACCAGGCCACAAAGGGGTGAGGCGCGCAGCGGGAGACGGGCTTGCCATTCTAACCAACGCTCTACAATTAGTTTTTATTTTATTTCCCATCAAATTAATTGCGATACACTGATAAACCTACTTAGGTTTTTGTTTCGCTGCCATGTTTAAATTATTACGCTGTTTTTGTAATTTCTTTATAATAAAAATAAACAATACCATACTATAATAAGACAAGTGTGGTAACTCCATTCATACGCAGCAACGCAGCTTATATGTATGTGTGCACACACGTTGCGCCTCAGACGCACACATTCGCATAACAATGAAAGGAGCATGGGACAACCTGCGCTATGCCACGCGAATGCATCGCGAAATTATGCGGATACCTATGTGCATCCGTACACGTAACACATATAAATGCGCTGTTACGTTTGTATGGAGCTACCATACTTGCCTTATTACAAGTACACTATACTACACTATATAATATTGATCATACTCACTGCGCCAGTCGCCGATAACACACGCATTTTTTGTTGTAATATTTTACCTCAATACAATTTTCTCAAATCAAACAGTACGTTCTTCATCTTTTATCAGTCACCTCGGTTCTTAACTCCGCAGCCTTCACAATTTTTCCCTTCAGCAAATCTTACCTTGAAGCGGTACGAAGGCGAGCATGAACGAGACACCAACGACCGCCGCCCAGCTGATCTCTTGCCACATGAAGTAGGTGATGATAAGCGTGGCCAGCGGTCCGATCCATAAGTAGTGCAGGAAAATAACTGCTACGTCGAATCGGTTTACATCATTGGAGAGCATGTTCACGAGCTGGCCTGCCGTTGTTTCGCCTAGGGCCGCTTGGGACAGTCGCAGCGACTAGAAACAACGTTATCAGCATTTTTTTATTAAAAAAAAAGTGCGCATTTGACATCCATCTCACCTAATGGAAAGTGACGATGAGGTCGACGATGGATGCATATCTAATAGCATAGAAATTAGGAGAATAAGTCTGCAGGGAATGCCACTCCACAGCCATTCGCCATATAAATGTGGAAGTGTAACGATTTGTGCAAATCCTTGGAATTTACATAACGTAGGTATGGAACCCCAACCTACTAGTACTAGATAGTCCTCCGATGATGGAAAGGGGAAGACGCAATTCACTGTGAACTGGCTACCATCAGCCCCCGTAGCATGGCTACGCATGATAGTCGCGACACACGCTATACAATTGAAATTAGCGCGCGCTATTGGCTGCCTCAATTAGATCTAATTTAGATAGCGCGCGCTTATTTCAATTTTATCGCGCGTGCTGCGACTATCATGCGTGGCCATGTTACGGGGGCTGGTTTATTAAATCAAAATACGTAGTGTATGTGTAATAAAAATATTTAAAAACTAAGTATTTTTATTTAATAAATCAAATGCTATATAAATAACGCAAACAATTTTTTTCTTCACCTGTAAAGTAAAATCAATGTAAAGTTGTTAAAATTGAGATGGTACCGGTTGCCAGTTCACAGTCGATATATAGATACATGTGTAGATATAGCTACAAGAAGCGACATAGAGTTGTTAAAACTACCAAATATTTATCAATTACTTTTCCGAATACCAGGTTTCCGGAAATGATTTTATTGCATCGTAAGACAGTACTACAGACCTAGGAAGTTGATACCATGTAACAAATGCAGTAGATAACTGACAGCTTTGTTGCCGTTCCGTCCGTAATTAATTAATACTTAATAATAATAATAATAACGCACACACTCAACATAGCCCCGCACTAGGGAAACCCTGTGTCGTACCAATATTTAAGTACCAATGATAAGAATAAACTAGTAGAGTATTCAGAAATAAATAAATAAATATCATGGTAGTAAAAACATCATGATATTCAATAAAAATATAATATCTTTTTCAATCTTTTTTCTTACCTTTCTATAAATAAGAGAGCAACAAGCAACACGGAACTTCATCCCCATATGCAACGTGGCCATCATGTACGGATGTATGACAAATACATTAGCTGCTGAACAGAGGACTACGGCCATCGCGTAAAGATACGCATCTTCTTGGTTCACCACCTCGGCAGCTTGCTGCGGGTTGAAGTAGTCCACCAGGCGCCCCAGGAATAGAGGTTGCGCTACTCTAATAGATAGATAAACTTTTATTAGTTAGGTATATAGGATAACTTCTTGATTTACAATAGTGTACATATTGTTTTTTATTTGCTAAGGTATTTTAAATAAATAATATTAAAAAGCATTTTCTAGTACTACGGATACCGATCAGTACTGTATACTTAAAACGAAAAACATATGTATAGATGTATAATATTTACAATGTACAAATATAAACTTTAAATCACAAACTACGTCTGTCATATTACAAAACACGGTTGCAATTTTCTTATAATTTGTGTCTTGCGTGTTGTTCGGAAATTATAAGAATATTTTGCATTTTAATTATTAGTGTATTCTGACGCGTTTAGTGTGCTGTATGATTAATTATATATATTTTTAGAGTGTTTCTGACCAATAAGGCCTATTGCAGAATATCAGCGAGGACAAAGTACATCATTGTCCTCTGTAGCTGAGTCATAGACCCATTTAACGTGTGTTTTTGTTTATTATTATTTATTTCGAATTAAATTTTTTTCTTTTCTTTGTATGGTGCACGGCAAATAAAGTACTTTATTTTAATTTAATTACAGTGTTAGAATGAATACTGGTTTGACAATCTTTGGGGGAGGCCTATGTTCAGCAGCGGACGTCTTCCGGCTGATATGATGATGAATGAATACTAAGATCAAACCTAGTAAAAAAACCTTACGAAAAAGTGAATTCCTAACATTCAATAGTTACCGTTTTGTAATCTAACACAAGTTGTGAAGTTTAGTTCTGTGTAATCAGTAGGGCTAGCACGACGGGGCGCGACTTGCGCGAGAGCCACATAAAGCGCGACATACTCTATGCAAGAGTAGCAATATCTCGCGCTTTATATCGCTCTCGCGCAAGTCTCATCCAGTCGTGTTAGCCCTACTGCAGTTTGTCCTGATTGCAGCATCAGATCAAGATTATCGTATCATTGTAATGTCATTGGATTTTCATAGTAAACCAAATTTCAAGTCGGTCGAGCTGATCTATGAAACACCTTATAAAGGGTGACCTACCGATGTCACTTAAACGAAGGTACATGGATATATGCATTGTTACGGTTTTTATCTACAGGCCTCTGGCTTGGTCTTTGACAGAAACCCAGAAGTTCAAACTCGGGGTTTGCCAACGAACTATGGAGCGCAGCATACTAGGTGTAAAAATAATAGATCTTGTCAGAAACACCACGCTGCGCTCACAAACCCAAATTGTCGATGTAGCTCGGAAGGCACTCCAAGTTGAAAAAAAGTTAAAAAATAAAAATTGAGATCCCTTCACTAACTGGGAAAAGAACTATTGATCTTTAGACAGCGGAATAGGTATTTATTAAACACAGCTAAGAATGATCCGGATTAAATGAACATTCAAAGAATAAAAAAACCGCTTTGAGGTCAGTCGATTCGTTTGGGAGCCATGATGCCACAGACAGTTTTAAACATATCTCCTCTCTTTTGGCGTTGGGGGTTACAATGAAATTTATCACTAAATTATTTTGGTACTATAATCTGTCTTTTTTGAAGACGGAGTAAAATGACATTTGTAGGGTCAAATGTCAATTTTATGAAAATGCCAGTTTTCATAAAATTTTAAATGGTTATATAGTTGTTGTCGATAGTTATGTCGATAAATTGTGAAAGAAGATAAAATTTTCGTTAGTTACGTTCTAATGATTACTAGTTCTTTATTATTCTTATTTTGACAGTTGGCCTACTATTACCGGAATCAAATTTTTATTCATATCTATTTTAACAAGAATAGCCGGATTTGATTATATGTATTGAATTAAAATTAAAAACTTTAAAATATGTCTCCTATTTTTCATGAACATAGTTCTAAATACAGTGTATGTATGTATGAACTTACAAAAATTGACAATTTAAATGAACTTGTCTTCAGTAATTGGATGAAACACTGAACACAAGTCGAGAATGATTCAAATGACACAAGTTCGGTTATTTATTCCATAAGCGTGGATAGTCGATAGAATATTTATCGACTGCAATGACTACCTGCTCGCACGCGAACACCAATTTTGTGCAATGAACTATCATTTTACTCTTCTTCTGTCTTCTGTCTTCAAAAAAGACAGACTGTAGATTTGTAATAAGAGCACTTTTTAAACCTGGTATTAACTTCAGTATTTTAACAATCCTAAATCTTCTAGACATCCCTTGGATTTAAGGTGAAGTGAGACCTAAAATAGACGTTTTGGCGTGCTTCGACCATTAGCCTAGTGCCTGAGATACCGCAATTCGAACAGGAAGGAGGCAGTTCGTGCCATATTTTAGATGCGGCGTGCGGTTTCAATTAACCCGCAGCTGAAAAAGATATTCTCCGTATTTTAAATCCCATCGCGTAATATTTTCATCTATCAGTTTTTTTATACAGATAAGTCGGTCGGTATTGTTGTAGGTTAGTGATTTCGAAAATACGGATATTTTTTTTTACATTAAAAATGACGAACACTACTTGTTTTTTAATTGATAATGAAAACAGAAGATAAAAAGAGCCCGAAACACGACTGAGTAAATTTTATATAAAAATTTTAAAGTTCGTTCGATAACAAAAAAGTTCCGCTATTTTTTTAATTTTTAACCACGTTCATCTACTAAAAATTAATTTAATTCAATTATTTTAATAAAACTTTATCTCCCGTGTTTCATAATAAATACGTAAGGGGAATATCTTATTTCACAGTGAGAGAGTATATTTGATTTCTAAAAGGCTCCCCGTCTACCTTACAAACTTCAAAACCTACGCAACCATGATACTATTTCGCTTTAAACTAAATCAAACTTTAAAATAAAAGGTCCAGTCTTCCTATAACGTTAACAAACTACAGTATTAAACACAACATTTATTCAAAATTCTTCAAAACGTGAAAATATCTAAGTACGTATATAAAACGAAAATAAATATGTACGTGCTTTTAATAACCTATGTGTCTTGTTACTATAGCGACGGGACACGATGTTTAAGTCGTTTTCTCTGAGCACGTCCACGGTTTTCTTGCGCTGTGCGATGTATGTGATGAAGTGCCCTAACATTCTGGGCTGCTGGGTCCTGTTTGGGAAAGGAAAAGGTTTTTTTGGGACTGCAGAAGGAATGTCACCAGAAACATCTTACTAAGAACGATGTCACACGGGCGCTGCTGGTGCGTTGCGTCGTCGCAACGCTACAATTTCAACACACCGAGTGCCACACGAGCAATGCGGTATCGCAATGTAACAACGGTTACGCGCATTCCGTCGCCGCGCGCCGTTTCAACGCACCAGGTGGCATATAGTATAGTTTATGTATATATCATAACACTGTGTCACCGCTCAGGCGCCGTAATGTCGTCGCAACGCAACGTGTGGCATCGCTCTGAGAGGGGCTACCCTTTGCGTTGCGTTATCGTAACGCGATGATCTCAACGCACTGAGTGCCACATTAGCAATGCGGTGCCGCAACGTAACGCCGCCTACTTAGAGCGATGCCACACGAACGTTGTGTAGTCGTCGCAATACTGTGATTTCAACGTACTGAGTAACTTGCGGTGGCGCGCTGTTTTAACACACCATGTGGCATGTCGTTCTGATTTATACATACTGCAATGCAGCGTCACAACGTCGACGAAACGCATCTTGTGGCATCGCTCTTACGCACCACAGCATCTCTCCCGCTTCTTCTCATGGCCCCTTGTTCAATGCGCAAACGTTCCGTCGTCACGCGCCGATTTAGCGCACCATGTGGAATGTAGTTCTAATTTATGTATAGTACAACGCATCGTCATCGCTCAGGCGTCGCAACGCTGACATATCGCATCATGTGGCATCGCTCCAAGGCGATTTTCCGTTAACGCTTGTCGAGGCGACACGTTACGACTTTACAATATCGTATTGATTCCTATATTGTAACAGCATCACATTGATCTCAAAAATAGCACAGGACCCTATATCTTACAAAACGTTCTTTAAAATATTTCTTATCGGAAAAATCATTTAAACATATTTGAGTGACGTTTTAAGGATATCTAATAATGGCATCGTATTTATTGTTATTGTTATTTTTCTTTTCTTTAATGACTTTGTAATACTCTATTAATATTTGTCTAATATATAATATTTGTCTGTTATTTGTGTTTGGTTTGAGTTTTCTTTCACTACGTACGTAATCCGAACCTACCTTACCTACTACGTAATCCGAATGTTAATAAAGCTTTTAACAAACCGAATAAACTTTCATTCATGTTGGCTGATAGCGACCCGGTCAATAGGTAGATGCTCGTGTTTATTAATCTTATCTCTAGAGTGCAATTCACGTCATATCTATGTAGTAGTTCATTCTAATGAAGTAATCAAACTTGATTGTTGTGGATAACGACATTATTGCTTATGGGAAGTGCTTTATAAGAATAATTGCTCTTATTAAGTATTCCTGGTACACTGCCACGTAAGATTTGTTTTAACGTAAGTGGACATTGACATTGAATATTTAACCTGAACCTGAAGCCGTGGTAGCGTAATAGTAACCTAGCAGAGGCCGTGAGTCCGATTCAGGGGTCGCACCTCTGGGATTATTCAGAATTGACGTACAAAATTTTTTCAAAAAGGTTTTCTTTTCTCTTTTTCTTCACCGCAAAGCTAATAGTTCACCATGTATGTATGTATGGTTAACCATGAGTTTTGCGGTTAATGAAAACATCGTGAGGAAACCTGCACGTTTAAGGTTTCTACCCTCGGAAAAATGTATGAAGTTTCCAACCCTTGCACAGCTATATATAATAATTAATTATAATTATATTTAATTATAATTATGTATATATGAGTTGATGACGACTCAACCTAAACAATATGTTAAAAAGTGCTTTTTTAACAGTGCGCAGGTAGGTTATCGAGATTCTTAGGTTTTCGTGATTGTTATACTAAACGTAAACTAGGCTGATACCTGTGACACTTCATTTGACGTTTGTCATAGGGATGAGGTAAAGTCGATAGATTTTTAGTGTATTTTTGAAGCAAAAGTTCTCTCTTATAGTTTTATTTTTCTGACGTATTCTGAGCGATGTATAGATGTGTGGGGTTTTATTATATTGAAGACCTAAAAAACACACAACTGTAATTGAAATGAAATTTCAATAGAAATTTTGGTAAATTTAAAAACATTTATCACATCATTAATTTAAGGGTTTCAAAAAAGTAAACTATAAGAATGAATACCCGTACCATTTATTAATCAAATTATCGAAAACTATTATCGATGTACCTCATCTCTAGCAAATATAGTAATGATGTAACTTTGCACGTTGTCGCGTAAATTAATGAATTTTTGCAAAAAAAAAGAAATTTTCCGCTCAATTTCTTACAAACAAACATTGATTTGTTGGTATTTTTACATTATTACTTTTTATGAAGGCATTATTAATTTTTATTCATTTAAAAATGAGGCATATAAAAATAGTTTATGAAATACGTAAATAAGTGCACGTCGTTACAAGGTTATATTTTGTAGATTTTTATGAACTGTCACAGGGATTTTTTTTTTTACTTTTTATTACACTTAGGAAATGAAACATTTCTTTCGGATCTCAATCGCATCATATTTCTTTTTCTAAACATACTAACATTTCGGTCAATTCACGGGTCCCATACAGTTATGGTTGAATAGTCAGCGATCACCATTTATGATATGTGAAAAAACAAATATGCGCGATTTACATCCAAAAAAATAATTTCATTTCCAGTATGCAGGTTAACAAATTACGTCTATTATTGTGTGCTTAACAGTACTTACTTACATTTCTCAAAAACATTTTCATAGTTTAAAAATGGTACTGCACACTGACAAGAAAAGAGAATTTGATATTTCCACTGCACTTTGTTTGCAAAGAATGTTGTGATACAAAGTACTTGAAATCAATATGTCGGCGAATAAACATACATTTTCAAACCGCCACTGCGGTGCAAAGGGGCTCAGAAAACTCAACGGCACACTTCCGTTGAACAGATTCACGTGAATCACTGTTTCTCAATTACAACAATATTTTTATAGACGGAATGAATCATTACATAAAAAATTCAATTGTATTAATATTTAATTTAAACAATAATGACCAACACCTCAGTTTCTCGATAAATGGCACATATAACAATGAGAAGATTCTTCTATTGGAAACTGATTGATCAATAAATTTGCAAGACAATCGTGCCAATTGGAACGAGGTTATTAAATTCACTATATATACTCTGAATTCCCTACTATGAGAAACTAGTATGAGTATCCAGATGTAATTTAAAAAGAAAGAAGTAATTTAGTAAGATAATTTAAGTACCTAATCGTTTTGAAATTGAAATCAAAATTGAATAATCTCCAACGCGATTATCACTAAATTTTTTTTTATTATCACTATATTAGATTTAAATAATGGGCTGGCCAAAAAGCCCGTGTGGTTTTTTATTTAAAATAATATATTGTCTTTATAATAAAAAGATAAAAAAATTTGGCACGCATTGTAAGAATAGGCGGGAGAGATAGTTTAATTTTCTATAATTCTGAAAAATGCCCAGAATTGGTGGATCGTAAAGCGCTCCTGGTGGTAACCGACATGCCTGTCCATACAAGTTGCAGTGCCAATTAGAGCTTTAAATCCCAAAGATCTGAGGGGTAGTGCCACAGCGCCCGTCACCCCGAGACATAACCCGTACCCTTCAAAACCGGGACGTGGTAATGCTCACATCACTACTTGGCCGCACAAGTAGGTAAGGCAAAATTGTATTGCATTGTAGGTAAGGTACTACGTAAGTACTTCCCGGGACGAACTCTTTCACAAGGAGTTTTACTACTATTAAAGTTCGATTTTTTTTTTTAGTGTAATAATAACCAACGTGAATATCATCGTACAGTTATAATTCTATCCTTGTGGGACCTCTTTTCGTGATTTCATAATGTTTTGTAAGAGAGATGTCGCAACATTGTTTCAACTTCCATTTGCAGTCCTCACATCTTCGTCCTTACATGTTATATTGCCAAATGATCAGGGTCCCAAGTCTGCTAATTTTAAATCATCAACGTTGTGTGTCAATGGCAGGATTTTGTATGTTTTTGTATGCTGCTACAAATTAAGAGAGGTGGCTTGACAGAGGTTACCCATCGAACAACTGTTCAACTGCCACTGCAATTATTTGGTATTCTGCTTTTCGATGGCGAGACGATGTCACGTCGTTGGTGTAGTCTACTAATTATTGGCGATAAAAAAATAAATAGAATTTGAATACTAAATTTCTGATTAAACGAAATGAATAACATACGCATAGTTAAGTTTCATAGTAGTTTTAGTAAGGCAACATCAATCATTAATGACTGAATTAATGAATGCCATTCCTCTGACGTTCTATTACAACCTATCTTACCATTCATATCATTCATCATATCTACCTTACCATTGCAACTAGATTTTATTTAGCAGAATAACAAACATTATCACAATTGAAATATAAACTCAGAGGAGTCTTAGTGGGAGTACAATTACCAGTGGTTTAAAAAAAATAGCGGAGATGGAACCCAGGTCACAAGATGAATGATTGAATCTAGAGTCCTCTTTGACATATTTGTAGCAATAACTAGAGGTTAACGACAACAATATCTAGTTACCATTGACCATGAAAAGTAACCTTGGTACAATAAAGCCACATGTGATCATACATCACTGTGTTTATATAACATGAAAGTCATAACAATAATACGAGATACATGAAATAAATTATGTATATGTCGTCGGTGTTTTGTAGAAACGGCGAAAGCGCCATTTCGAAAAAAAATTCAGGTGAGCACGTTTTAGGCGACTGTTTTAAAATATTTACGTTCTGTTTTAAAATTCAATTTTGGTTTTAAAATTGAATTTAAAACAGGACGGTAAATATTTTAAAACAGTCGAGAAACACTAAAACATACTTCCCTGAAAAATTTTTCGAAATGGCGCTTTTCCCTTTGTACAAAACACCGACGATGTATTTTATAATTCTCCTATCGTTACTAAGAAATTTTCAACCTCTCTCCCGGAAAGTTGTCATTTTGCAAATGTG